AGCGTCGTCGGCACTTACTTTAGGCAAGAGTACACGCAGAAAAGGAGGAGCTGAGCTCGACTCAAGGTCACTGGACACGAGGTCAACAGCGACGCAATAGGCACCTAATGGACTCAAGGTCACACACTAAGTCCCCAAGACACAAGTTAGCATAGTATCTAGTACAGAGACGGTTACTCACCTAAGTCCCCAAGACACAAGAGGTCGAGATGGGGACTTAGGGCGAGCTACAGGGGTCTTATATACACAAATCCATGGTCCAAGAATAGTACAAGAGAATCACATGCAGGGCACAAGGATGAGTAAGACCGACCCACTTAGGTGGGTCAGGATTATGAATCAAGGAGTTAGAAGGAATAACGAGTCATTGTTCATGAGTAAGCGGAACAAAACTCCGGTGGCTGTGCAAGGCTGTGCAAGGCAGTGCAAGGCAGTGTCAATGATGCTGTACTGCTGCCACTGAAGGTCACGTGACTTTGGAAAAGGAAAGGTGGAAAATGATAAGTCCATATTTAGAAATGAAAAATGCGAAAATAAATTGTCCTTCTCTTCTCATCACACCAAGAGCTCCGTAAATGCTGTTGAGCTGGGTCCTCTGAGTTTGGCCCATTTGGCAATCTCCCAATCAATCCTGGTCTTGAAAGGGGCCCAAGGACAGTGCTCCGCATCACCATTCAATTCCTGGATCTTCTCCGAATAGCTTGTATATGCAGATGAGCTAGCTAAGGGCAAACATTCACCAGCACGGCCCCCAAAGTGAACAATAGTAGGATCCACTCGAAGATTGCTCTCGGCATCTGTCCTAGAGTTATCATGTATGTCATGGTCACCATCGGAGCCCTCATCGGATACTGGAGAGGAAGGTGTCGGAGAAGGACGCGGAGACGGGGGTTGTTCGTCATCAGCATTGAAATAATCTGAATCTGAGCCAGAGTCAGAGTCGGATGTATCGGAAGGGACAATAGGATCTCCAGCGGGCCAATCAAAGTCTTCAGGTCCATAGTCATCACCATAGAAATCACCTTCAAAGTGACGAGGTGACTGTGACCTGTTATCGTATCCTTCATTGTTATTTGAATCCGGAATATGATCTGACTCGTGCGGTGGCACTTGTGAGGTACTGGGGTGGGAACTCCGGTCTGTGTGTCGTGAATGTGAACGTGAACTAGACCTAAAGTTGTATGAGCCTACTCTATCATTCATAGCAATATACGACATACCGTCCACCCTGGTGCCGCTGGTGGAAACTTGGCGAGGTGGATTTACCATGTAAACTCCTCGGTCGCAGATTCCTCGGTGCTCGAGGATTGGCTTGAAGATGACACCGGTTACTTGAGTCATGCACAGAGCGGCATAGAGGATTGCGTGTCTGTGCAACATGGTTGGAATATCCACTAGCACTAAAGTCTACCAGACACCCTTGGCAGCGCGGCATAGTAACGGGACAGACAGTAGGGTAGGAGGAGGTGGACGGTTGAGAGAAAGAGGGCAAGAGAGGTCATACCGGGGGACGCGTAAGCCCTGGGACTTGATTCACACAACCCGAGTCATTAATAGACAACAAGATAGCATTTACCTGGTGCAGTGCGATAAAGCTATGGAGGATTGTATCGCAGTTAGCGGCGGTCATCGCGCAATATCAGGCCGAGCCCACCGGACATTTTCTTCGCATGATTACAGTAGGGCGAAGGTGCGCGTCAATTTGAGGTACCAAGGGCTGCACCAGTCTCATGTGCATTTCGGCCGGTGCCAATCCCCGTGCTGTCACCGCATATGTAGTCGTGCAAGATCGAGGGTGCTCATTGTCCGTTCGACTGAGTAAAGAAAACAGTTGTAACACACCTCCGCATAGAAGCGCGTTTAGTGCTCCTTGCGCTGACAATAGTGCGCGTGGACGACGACGATGCTCGGGCCATCATTGCTTGGGTAGCGGAGGTGATTCGAGTTGCGGAGGGGCTTCCCGGGTCGATGCGCAGGTCTGGCGTCTTGAACAGGTTGCCCGAGTTCAAGAACTCAGGGAGCGCGTTGCGCTTGACGGTATGAATCTTGGACGTGTCGAACCAGGCGGCGTAGGAAGGGATCGTGCGTCTGGGCGGCGAGATAGCGCTGGGCCTGTGCTTCGAGACGCGCGTGCGCGGCCTCGAGCACGTCGGGTATGTCCTCGTCCGCATCGTCGTTGCTGTCCCCGCCGCCGTCCTCGTTGTCCTTCCCCCCTCTTCGGCCACCTCGTCGTCGTCGCCCGGCTCTCCTTCCTCCTCGCCAAGCACACACACGGATAACCCCGCTTCTTGCGCTCACAATAGCCGGCGGGGACGGCAACGGCGCTTGGGCAATTCTTACTTGGGTTGCGGACGTGGTACGAGTTGCGGAGAGGCGTCCCGGGTCGACGAGCTGGTGCGGCGTCTTGAACAGGTGGCGCGAGTTGAGGAACCCGGGAAGCGAGCGGCGCTCGACGGGGTGGATCTTGGATGTGTCAAACCAGACGGCGTAGGATGGGGTCGTGCGTGTGGGCGTCGAGGTAGCCGTGACGTCGAGCGGAACGAGCGAGGCGGTCGTGAGGAGGAGATGGCATGGCGCAGGTCTGAGTGCGGTACACATGCGGAGCCGAGTGAAGGGGACGTCATTGGCGAGCCCGGGACTAGGGATGGCGGTCAGTGGCGCAGGGTGCTGATGTCAGAGGACTGGAGGAGCTCAATGCGTAAGTAGGTACGCCCGTGTGCGCGGTTGTGATGATGGAGACTCACCGCTATTCTAGCCCGCTCCGTGCAGTGAACCAATATTGCTCGGCGACAGAGTCTCGCGCTGCTGGGCCAAACACACACTGCCGAACCTCCAGCAGCATCGCAGACGCGCCGCACTCGTTGCCTTGACGTCACCCAGCGAGCCGCCAGCGAAACGTACCGATGGCGTTACGCGCTCGTCAACAAACGTGTCGCGATGCGACATACATTGAACAGGGTGCTCTCCCGGTGCGCGCTAGCGAGTCAGTATGCCCGCGGGTGCCGAGTTGCTGAAGTTGGGAACCTGCCGTAGATGGTGAGTCAATGCTTTTCGTCAATGCAGATAGTATCTAACATACCTTTGATAGGATGTCCAACTATTAGCCGTTGCCGCCCTACTGCTCGCCTTGCTCGTCCCGGTGCCATAGCCGTCTCGGTGCGTCCTACGGCCTCGCTTCCGATTTCCAACGTCGCGGTCTTGATGCTCCTGGTGCGGTCAATGCACGAGCTCGATGTCGACGCGCTGCCGACGAGCGTGCCGCAGGAGCAGGGCATGTCCGGGGCAGTTACTCGTTGATGTATGCGGTGATTGCGATGCTGACGCTCGTCCTACGCACGCCCAGTTTGCCGTATTCGATCCATAGGCATCGACGCTCGCATGCTGCCGGTGACACTCCTCGAGCATGCCGTCACGCTCGTTCGCAAGCGGAACCTGATGCGGCACATTCCGGAGAGGGGGTGCTCGCAATGTGTGCTCTCGAGTCGGTTAATCCACGAGTGCGGAGCTGCCTGAGGCGGAACAGACAGAATATGGTGATTCAGCGCAGCTCATCGTCGCAGATCGCTCAGGACATACCTCTGATACGAATTACGGTGTCCGCCTGCAACTGCTGCCTTACAGCATGCTCGCCTTGCTGCTCCCAGTGTCGGAGTCGTTTTGGTGCGTTCTGATGGCGTGGTTGTTCCATCGGTATCGGAGAAGAACAATGCGGCGAAAGATTTGGGCGACGGGAATGATAGATGTGAAGCAATCTCGACGCCCGTGCATGCAAATACTACGCAAATGAAAGCGTGCGAACTCCCGCCGCTTGCCTTGAACTCCCGCTGACACGTCGCACTTCGTCGTCGACCTTGGGCTCCTCGCTTTCTGACACCGTCTCTCGGTGCGATGGCCCCATTGGTCAGCCCGGAAGAGGAAGCGGCGCGGCCAGCCGAATGGAAGAGCATGAGCACCGTTGCGAAAGGCGCATGGAACAAGGCCTACCGGGAGAGCCTTCAATCCCAGGCGCCGGCAACGGACGGAAGACCATGTGAGTTCGCATTGCTGTATTAGCCTCTTCTATGCTGACCTTGTGTTTGATGTCTAGTGCCGACTCGGTCTTCTAAAGCTGCTGCAAGTAAAGGTATGCATCAACTTCGTGTCAGCTTGTTCGGCTCCCGAATGAGATCACACAGCGTGGGCGAGCAGTATTCCGGCTTCAAGGACCCGTGATCGGGCGAACAAGGCCAAGGATCCAAAACGGAAGCGGTCCGGTACGTTACACGACTCCGTTCATTATGCCAACACATCTCATCCAGATCCCAGAAAGTGCTGCAAGCAACTCGTCCGTCACGCGAAACAGGAAGGCTCAGAAGTTATCGACAGGTATGTTTCCCCTCAGTATGAAGTTACGGGTGTCGCTGATATGCACACACACGAGCCCGTGAGTATGCGGCACCGAGCTTGCGTAGGGACTCGCAAGCAGCTTCCAACCGCGACGACCGATTGGTACGTCAATCACCTATTCATGCATTAAGTCTTTCCTACACTTATCCATATGGAATAGGCTCCGCCTCCGGATGCTACCCAGATCAGACCCACCGGCAAGAGAAGCAAGGATACCGATAGCGAAGAGTCTAGCGACGACGACGAAGAACAAGATGAGCTTGGAAATGAAGATGGCGAGGAGTTGGAAGAGGAAGATGATGATCTCGACACGCTCGCAAAGCGTGATCCAAAGGGGTTGCAAGAGAAGCTTCGCGCCGAGGTATGACCACTTGTATTGCATTGACAAGAAGTAGACTAACATATATATAGCGTCCGGTCATCAAGCCCAAGGGCCCTTCGCCGAAGGATGCGGGGCAGGGTGCCTCCAACGAGGGGATGGATCCGTCTCTCGTCGAGTCATCAGCAACGAAGTACACGACAACCAGTCGTCTGCGTGAGCCCCCATCGGCTCCGGATCGAAAAGGCAAGGGGAAGGCAACGGTACCTCACAGCGGTGGCCTTGGATATGTCGAAGAGGATGACGAGGAGGAGGTTCCCGTCAAGGTGCCGACACGTCCGAAGCGCAAGCCGACAGCCCCCGTCTACGTCCATCCTGACGTGGACAATCCTGTTCCACACGATACCACCACGATGCAACACCCTCGTACTGGGTTACCAGCAAAGAAGCGCACAACAGGCACTGCTGAGGTATGGACCGTCGACAAGAACTACACTGATGTATAACTTACTGTTGTGAAGTCGAAGGGCGTGTCGTCAAAGAGGAATGTGGGACAGGGATCCTCCAATGACAGGACCGACCCCTCTCAAGTTGGGACATCGGCAATGAAGCACACGATGGACGCTTCGAAGACCAGCCGTCCGCGTGATCGAAAGGGTAAAGGAAAGGCAACGGCACCGCCGCACGACGGTGACCTTGGAGATGTTGAAAAGGACGACAATGAGGAGACTTCCGCCAACATGTTCACACGTCGGAGGCACCAGGCGCAGGATTACTCTGATGTTGACGTAGAGGACGAGAACATTGACCCAAGTGACATCTCTCACATATGATATGTTGTTCCGGACTGACCTCGCGACATTTAGGTCAAATGCAAGAGGATTACCGTATCGCGATGGAGGCTGAAGAATTATCAAAGCCACTGCCACCGATGCCGCGCCGCATTCGAGGTGTCATGGAAAACTCTGATGGCAACGTCCAGCCATCGACTTCGAGTCTGACGTCGGTTGCGCCCGCGGCCACCTGGTCTGCTACCACCGACGTGTACGCGTTGCAAGGCAAAAAACCCGGTCTAAAGGTGCAATCTGTCTCGCTCCAGAATCTACTCAAGGCTGCCATGTGCCGTATGCAGGTGGAGTTGGTCTTCGTCAATGCGTATGCCGATCCGAACATGCGCCACGATGCCATTATCAAGATCATGACTCGGGATGCAGAGGAGCTCTCACCGCCTGAGCCGCAATTAGTTGATTGCCTGAAGAAGGACATGTCCTCGTGGCGTAGAAACTTAACATCGCTGGTACGTGTTTGCTTTGAGGTGTGCGAAGATAGCTAACTTCTGAGCTTACAGGTTGATAACCGTCTCATCACCTCGCGTAGCGAGCTCAGAAGAATTGTTGCGATTCATGTTGGTAATGAGTACGGCGTACCCACCCAGCGGTCTGCTCGTGCCTTGGTGTGGTACCGTGATGCTTCATACATATATCCAGGTGACGTTGAGGTATGTGCCCCATAAATGGTTGTCGTACATGTCGGCTTATGATTGCGATATATTTGTAGCTTGGTAACCTAAAGACAGGCAAGTGTTACCAGCAGGAGATCTTTGCCGCCATTATTGCGGATGCATTCTTCCGCAAGGCGGGTTTTGGCATGTCGGAACGGCATCGGTTTGTGGATCCCGATAACGAGAACAAACTCAGGATCCCACCTCCTATGCTAGCATATGTTGCTACGCTTGTGAGTTCAAGTATTTATCTCCCGCTAAGCACTCTGATACTTTCGAAAAAGATTCATGCTGCACTTCGTACTTGTGCTGAGGAACCCGCGACGAAATCAAATCGGGCACCAAGGGCTGAAACATATGAGAATGTGTACCGGAACCATTTGGTGACTATTGAAGCACTCGAGGGCAATCAGCCAGTTAGGTACCGTCATACTCTGCGGAACATGTACCGAAGAGCAACGTGAGTGATTGACCTATTCTATATGAACATGTTCAATAATCTGCATCAAGAGAAATGGCTGATGCTGAGGGGTTGGTATGGGGATCAGCTGAGCTAGATGGTAATGATAGTGAGGATTCGGAGATGGAGAATGACGAGGACTCAGAGGCAGAGGTCATAGAGGGTGGGGAGTAGTTGATTTTTGGGATTAGACTCTGGTTTCGTAGCTTATTACTCCTCCCTAATACTTCTATTGGGTCAATGACATGATTGGCCACAAATTTCACTGCGAATGTGGTCCTTAAGTATTGATTAGAACTGATACACATCACATTACCAGATAATTGCTTGCTCATATGATGATTATAACTTATATTGTCTGATAGTACCTTATTTATATCATATATGGTCAGAATATACATGTATCAGGATCAGAGTGTAGTCCTATCAGGATCAGAGTGTAGTCCTATTAGTGTCAGATAGTGTCCTGGTATGACGATGATATGGAGTGATTTGGTTGGATTTGATCAAATAAGTGCAGATTGATAGCTGTAGGTACACCTGCCACCCGCTTCAAATAAGGTCAAATTTGACCAGATCTGAATACATCATGTCAAAACTGATCAAATTATGGGGACTTTCTTGAGGGGTACCTTCCAAATTAGAATGAAAAATGATAGATAATATACAACTTGATAGGTTATGTCCTAAGTTGATCTCATAGTATCAGAACTATTATTATTGAGTGATCCACAGACAATTGTGTAAAATATCTGAAACTTTTTAGCATAGATTCTGGCTGGGAAGGTTTTCCTGATGACTCCGGCTGAAGGAGTGCTGCCATGACCCGCTTTGTACACAAACTGACAGTGCCCTTGCCGACGCCAGCCCAGCTTGCAGCCGACTGGAGACTGGCGGCATTGCCGTTATGTCCCAATCTCCACAACGTAATGGCCACCTGGATTTCAACAGGGATCTGTGCATTCTGCGAGTTGTTGGAGAAGACTACATCATTCTCGATGGACGATACAAGGAGGTCGAACGTGGTCGGGTTGATGCGAAGCTCCTGGCGGAAATGTTGAGGTTGGTTGTGTTTGAGCTCGGTGAGAGTGAATACAAGTCTTGATGGGCCTCGAGCAAGACGTTGACAAGGAACTGTATATCGGTGACGGTACATATCTTCGATGGCATGCAGGATGTGAGCGGAGAGAGTCGATGTGTATTCGTGAGCAATGTTGGCGACTTCCACATTGATAGGATCATAACCCTCATCCTCGCTGTCAGTCTCCTGGTCTGCATTGTCATCTGAAATCGATGTGGAACTATCCGAAGACATAGGTATGGCCCACTGGTGTACACTGCTGTGGAGATACTCGCTCAAAGATGAGGCTGATGAGAACTCCTCCGAGCTTGTGTCGTGACCAGGGCTCACAGTTCCCCGATATTTTTGCCATCCATGCCCAAGGATGTCACTCCAGTAATCGAAGTCGGTGGACACATCGGATTGGCTAGTATCGGAGTCGAAGTCGGATGAGGAGGAGGTACTGCTGTCTGATGATGAACTTGTTGACCTCCGAGGTTGAGGATGTAAGCCTGCTCGGCGCAGTGCGTAAATCTCTTGTCTTCGCGCAAGCACCTTCTTAGCCTGAGAGGATGCCCTTGACTTGCGAATCTTGGTATATGCCTTCACAAGGTTCTCTGCTTGAGCGCGGCGGTACGAGCGGCGAGGCATGATGTCAGGAGATAAAATATAACTGACAGTTCTACGGTAAACAAGTATGCAGAACCGGGTCTGAAACCGGCTTTGGAACGGGGTAGGTCAGAGCTGGGTCGATTTCAGAGCCGATTTTGCGCTCTGAACCGGGCGCGAAATCGGATACAAAACGAGGCGAAACCGCCCACTCTGACTTCCCCTATTGTCCCTATTCAACAAGAATATGTCGGAAACGTCGGCCGATCAATGGGTCAGTCAGGGTTTTCCATTCGGGGTGTTAAAGGAATAGGCCTGTCTTTTGAATTCAACTGCTTCATGGCTTTGCTCAGTGAGATGTACGATCCAGGAAACAAAAATCACCGTGAGCAATTCTCATGGTCTCCATACAATGCTAATGCCTCCAGGACAGTCACTCTTCCAATCTACGACGGCACCGTCGAGTTCAACACTTGCCCTGGTGGGAGTGAATCTCCTCCGGTCAACAAGAGCCGTGGCCCGTGGATCTCGATTCGCTCAACTGTAAAGGAACAACAGTTCTACGTTCCTGGAGTATGGCGACATGAGTGAGTCTCCTGCCATGCATTCAGTGTTCTAATTCTCTATGTTAATTACCGTATAACAGTACCAATTTATGACGGGCGCAACATGTCCAAGGTTCAACCAAACTCACCGGACTTCAAGCTGTCATCGCTCATGTCCTTCGAGGGCAACCTGAAGGAGACTATCTCTATGGTTGAGTTTACAATGAATATGTGGATCAAGCAGAACAGTTCTTCTCAGATTTCACTCAACATCAAATCGGTGACTGTTCTTGTTACTTGATATATTACTACCAGTGCACTGCAATTGCCGTGATGTGATAGTACGTTAAATGCCTCAGTTGCACCCATCCGCACGTCTACAACCGGAAATGAATCCTAGAAACTTCCCTGACCAAAACCGCCGTGCACTCCACAATGGACGGCGGTCATAAAATGATACGCTACCGAAGTATCTGACCAGCTGAGATCCGACACCGGTCCATCTCCCATTTTTTGTAGTGGATGAGGGCCGGTTCAGCTCCTGTAATACACCCATGAATGCTCTTTTTGCGGGCTCCCGGTAGTAGCCGCCTACCTTTAGTATAGATCGGAGAGTATTCCTTTCCAGCCTGGTCAAATGGTCAAATGGGGAGTCGGGCCGGCGCGCCAATGGCGCGCCATACCCCCACGTTACCTTCAAAGCCAATATGGACCTCTGTAACAATCGGGTAGATTCGATAACGCTGGAACATTGGGTGAAAGAGAGGAGGACCATAAAAGCCGTTAGAAAGTTGATCAACATGCTTGAGTGGGACTACTTGTTTCTTGCTCCCGCCTTCATTGTAGTCAAGCTGACGTGTTTCTGGTACGTCAGTGCTCCTCATGCGCCCACGAGAGCGCTGGCCTTCCTGTATATCTCCGCGCTTGCTCTACTTGGCGACAAATTTCGCGATCTGCTTCGCCAGCTTCGCTGTGTAGAGCATCTCACAAGTTTTTGCGTTACCGCCTGGCGGACCACGTATCCTGGCGTAAATCCGCTGCTCGCGCCTGCGCAACGTGCACTCGCCATCCTCAACGATACCGAGGTCTTCAGCGTAGCGCAGGGCCTCAGGCGCCTATGCGAGAGTAGAGATTACACTGGGGACCCTCAAGAAGCCGAGGAAGAAGGAAGGCGTCAGCTCGCTCTTCTCATGTCCTACGCACAGTAGGTTGCCAATACCGTCTGCTTACTCGTTGTTGGGCTCATAAACAACCAGGATACAACACCTACGATCTTCGGTTATCTATTGCCTCACCCTCTTACATCAGGACAAACACCTGAGTGCGCTGGTTTCGACTTCCGAATTAAGGAGACGGTTCCAACACGAACTGGATGATCTGATGCAGGACTTATCAGATGACCAGCTCCTGCGTTCCACATTGTCGAGGTTTGCCCTCGTGGACCTGTCTGAGATGGGGCCCCGATTTTTAATCACTGACATGGTGACGTTTGACATGGAGGAACAATTTCTGTGTCCGAAGTCTTTACGCCTTCGTCTCAACCTCAGGTCGAAACCGCGCGATTTCCACGGTCTATGTTGTGTTTTCATAGAGGTAGATCAGCGGTTGGATGTTCGCTGAAATAGGATTATGATGGCAAAATAAACTCAGATTTGGCCCCGCAGCCGCTCGTGAAGTTAAAGCCTCGTCGGCAGCTCATAGTATCACCAGATGCAACCCAATCCACAGGTTCACATCACTCTCACCACATTGATGATTCCACCACTGGACCCCGAATCTATGTCATTTCACTCGATGCTCACGATCTATTCCACGACTCGTCACAATTCCTGTACGATCACACCCATGCGCACTACGTGTCGATCAACTCCATCTCATACTTGAATTTCGCGCATCTCTTTTTCTGATCATCGCGTTTAGCCTTTGGATATAATTAGACCTTACCGTTGTCGTTAGATATACGCCTTTTCTGCTCGCTCGCACCTAGAACGTGCACAAACCGGAACTCGTTCGTCCTGTCAACCCCGTGAGCACGCCCCTCCGCATCCAATTTTTTGACTTCGACACCAGGCGGGCGATTGCCACAGATAAACACATATCTGCCATGAAGGCTTAGTCGATCTGAAGATAGGGCCGCAATTCACAAACGCGCCTCCCACGGTCAGAAGAGGACTTGATCCGAACACCTAATACGAGTCGGCACCGCCCAGCGGGATGCGAGCCACAAGCTATCGTACTAAGCTTTCATGACCCAGAATCGATCCCAGGGACTGCCGACGACTAAATACAACACCATCAGCCGCGAACGCTATTCACTCCCCCCTCCCTCCCCCCTTCCTGACGGCGCCATGCAGCAGCCGAGTCGGCTCAACGTTCAGCGCTCAACCTCGGGTTGCATCTTTTGCCGGGCGAGACGACGACGAAGGGTCGGTCCTAGACAACACTCGCGCTGTTTCTTGCATGAACGTTCGCCCAATCGTCGACGACCCGTCGGTGAATGATGCCACATCGCCCACAATAGCCGCTGCGCCCGAGCCTACCACCGGAACCTCTTAGCAACTGAATACCCCTGCGACGAACTTCTCCGCGCAGCCCTTTCACGTCACCCGGCGATATCGCAAGCTTGATCGGCATGAAGTACGTGTTCACTATCCGGTACTTCTCTCCCCGCAAGGCGACGGAGTGGGACAGCATGCGCTGCTTCTGGCCCATTGCAGCATGTTGAATCTGGTACGGCAAGCACAGTTTCCTTTCTAACATTGATACGCGCCTGTTTTTTTTTAGCACGACGCCCTGTATCATCGTCGCTCGTAGGCTCGCGAATCATTACAGCTTCATCACAGCTGAATGCAATCCCTCCATGTAGGGAATCTTTCGATGATGCGCTAAAGACGATCGTTCGCATTGACGAGACTGGACTACATAAATACCGGATGGAGTCCTTGGTTGTCTGCAGGATCCGCACCGGTTACCTCCCCGTCCCTCTCTATACAGTAGCCTTCGATTTCTCCTCGCTTCTTGCAGTGCACTCTCATCTCCCCGTACACGCGACGATGGACGGCTTGCTATATGACGCATACGGCCGTCAATACGAGGCCGCCAGCAGCAGCAACGACACGGCATCGAACCTGGCAGGAGCAGGTCGGACGATGGACCTGATCCTCTCTTGGGGAGGCCGACATCTCTCCAACGCGATCGCTCTGGCACTCAAGCCATTCTTCACCGGCCCGTCGGGTCAGATGACGATCCTCCTAAATGTGGCGACCAATCGCGAAGGCCGTGATGGTCGTGGGCCGCCGTCTCGGTCTCCCAAGGCAGACCTCTCCTTCGATGATATAGTGCAAGCGTTGCTCGAAGCCGCGGCCGAAGAGCGTCCCGTGCCCGTGTCCGGAGCCAGACCGGAAGGGTGTGCACCGGCCCTGCGAGGAGGACACTGGACCTCTCAAAAGCGAGCCATCAAAGCCGTCAAGAACCTGATCCGCGCGCTTCAACTCGGGTGAGAGAGAGAGCCCCTTCTTCTCCCCGCGTCTCTTCCTACATAGCTCTTTGGGAAACCGAGCGCGTTTATTGACTGTGTGCCTCCCAAGCGCTTCCGACGCACCATCCAAAACGCTGGCTCTCCGGTACCTATCGGTGCTGGCCCTGCTCTGCGACGCCTCCCGCGATCTCCTCCGCCAACTGCGGCTCGCAGAGCACCTCCCGCGATCTCCTCCGCCAACTGCGGCTCGCAGAGCACCTCACCGCGCTCTGCACGTTCCTCTGGCGCACCACGATCCCGGACGTCGATCCGCTGCTCGCGCCGGCGCGGCGCGCGCTCGTCATCATGACCGACACCGAGGTCGTCCGCGCGACGCGCCACATCGAACGCATCTGCGCAGCGGAACCCCAGACCGCAGAGGCTACGAAGGAAGGCGAGCGCCAGCTCCGTCTGCTCATGACATACGCACGGTAAATATCGTCTGTTGATGCCCGTGTACCCCCTTCGCACGTCAGCTCAACGCAATCGACCACAGGATATACGAGCTGGGGCCGTTGGTCGTCCGCTGCCTCACCCTCTTGTACGAACGGCGATGCCTGCCAAAGCTGGTATCGACCGCGGACCGAGTGACCCAATTCCAACGCGAATACGACGCCAACGTGATACGGCAGCCGGCCTCCTCCTCCTCCTCCTCCTCCTCCTCCTCCTCCTCCTCCGACGACGACGACGACCGGCTCCTCCGCGCCATGCTGACGAGGTTCGCCCGCGTCGACACGAAAGCGGCGAACGCCTCGACGACGACACGGTCACGGTCCAAGCTGTGCAACGTGCGGGGCTTGCTGCTCTTCCACAACTACGCCGTCGTCTCCGGTCAGGCGGTGCCGACTCCGCGGGGTCCCGCGAAGGTGGAACTGGTCGTGGCGAAGCACTCCGCCGTGATGCGCGAGAATAACATCTCACCGACGTGTCCGGCCGTGTGTAGGTTCGCGCATATGTATGCAGGGGCAGGAGCAGGGGAAGCTTCCTAGGGTTAGCCTACCAAGGTGTGCAGTAGCAGTAGTGAGACCGGTGATTCGATTAACGGGGACTTGATATAGACGTAACGACATGGAATATCGCACGTATGGCAGATCCTTGCAGGAGGGAAGGTTGTCATATTCATACTTCTATACCGGACGCGCACAGTGATTAATCATGATGTATTTCACTCTTCTCGGGCGCGCATGAAACGTGTATCGTTTTTTCAAATCTGACTCTTAAACTACTACAAGTAGACGATTACAGACTCTGCTATGTCGCCGAGCGTCCCAGAGTTCGTTACCGGTGTACACAAAGGCAGAAGGCAAACCGTCCGAAGCACCCCAGATACGTAAAAAAGGGGACAGGAAAGACAGGCGGAGAAGACAAAAAACAGTGACGGGGAAGATCAAGGAATAAATGGGACCTACCATTGACCAGAAGCGCTTGCTATGGATACAGTGCTGACGAGAAAACAACGAACGACGGCCGGCGGATGAAGTGCGCGACAACGACAGGAGGGCGAGGATGACAATAAGAGGCGATAAGATATGCCCAGTACGAGGGTAAAGCACCGTCACTGGAGTAGTCGATCCACGAAGCGCACGACGTCCTCCCGTGTATAGTGGGGAACGGGAGCACATGGGTGAAGGAAGAAGGATGACGGACGCCCGTTTCATCGTTCCTCGTCCGATCGATTGGCGACCTGCGAGAACGGGGGATTCCGCAAGTCAGGGCTCCGACCATAAATCATGGATGGAAAAAACAGAAACAAGTAACGCACCCTCAACTCCCGCGCGCTGAAATAGTCGCTCGCATCCCGCACCGGCACGCTCGCGTCGGTCCCCGGGCCAAACCACTCCGGAAGGACCGCCGGAGGCGGGAGCAGCTGCTCCGCGCCCGACGCCCGCCTCCTGTTGAACCAGCTCGCGTACCCCGAGTTCGAGCGTGCGCGTCTCGGCGAGCGCTCTCCTCCGGGTTCTTCCGCGACGGGGCTCGGCGTCTCCAGAAGGTCGTGTCCCTGGGACGAAGACGGGAACCGCGGGTGCTGCCGATACGACGACGCAGGGTGGTGCTGCCCATACGAGGTGGAGAACGACCCGGAACTGGGGGTGACCGGCGGCGACGACTCGCCGCCGAGCGAAAGGGGGGAGTGCATCCCGCGTCCTGGGGGGTAGGGGTAGACCATCGCGCCCGCGGGGGGATCCGGCAGCCTTCGGGGTCGACCCGCCCTCGCGCCCGCACCCGCACCCGCACCGGAAGAGCTGGAGCTAGCGGGGCCCATGCGGAACGGCGCGTAGTGGTAGTAGCCGGGCGTGGACGACGACGGTGCCGCGCCGCCGCGGAGGTGCACGAGCGAGCCGGTCCTCGACTGCGAATGCGACCCGGCGGAGGTCCGCGCCTCCTCCGACGGCGGCGAGGGCGGGGTTCCGGCGAACGCGTATTCGGGATCGTGGTCCGGACCGTATCCCGGCCGATGCCGGTACTCGGACGCGGACGAGAGCGTGTCGGACGAGCTGCTCGTCGCGCTGCCCACGCCGCCCGCGAACCCCGCGCCCAACGCGGGCGCGTCTTCCTCGCCCCTCCGTACTTCCATGATATCCACGTCGTCGCCGAACGGGTCGCGTCTCGTCCCGCGTACGGTATCTGCGGCGGCGCTATCGAACGTCGTCTTGACCGGCGTCGCGTAGTAGACCTCCATAGGGCTCGGCGGCTGCGGGACATAGCGCGGATCCGAGGGTATGTACGTCCCTTGGGGATGCATGAGGGGCAAGAACGCGGGCGTGGGGTCGTAAGCAGCCGACGCAGCCGACGCCCGTCTCCCTTTCTCTGTGCGCGAGGATCGGTCTCTCTGTCCTGCACCGGCCATGGCGACGTCGTCTGTGCTATCGCCGCCCATCTTCTCGTCTTCACCGCCCACGAGGTGCCAGCTGTGCCGGTGGGAGGGAACCTTCGCCGCCGCGTCTTCGTCCTGGGCAAGCCTGCGTCGCCGTCTTCGCCGGGCGAGGAGCCATATTCCGGCGCAGAGGCAGATGAGGAGGAGGAGGGCGAAGGTGGAGAAGACGCCCGCGAGGATCTTGGTGGTGCTGCTCGCTGCGCCAGAGCGGGAGGGGTGGGAGGTGGCGGGTTGTATGACGGAGGTTGGCGAGACTATCGCTGGCGAAGAAGAGGGCGGGGGTGTGCTATGCGACCGACCATCGTTAGCCGGACAGATGCGAAGGATAAATAGCATGAACGCACGTGGAGGGTATGCTCGACGATCCGGTGACGATGCCCGAAGATGTCGGCGTTGCCGACGCAGGTGCCGAAGTGGCAGAGCCGCCGATGACGATAGTCGACCCGGCAGGGATGGTGACGCCGCCGATGACGGTCGGGAACGTGAGCACCGTCGAGATGTCGACGACGATGGACGACGGAAATACGACAGAGCCAAGCGAGAACGGGAGCGATATCACGCTCGGTATGGTGAACGACCTGTCTACGAGTAAATCCGTCGCCAATGACGGCCTTTGAAGTGCTTCAGCGACCAGTTCCCGCACGATCGCCTTGAATGAACGACTTACGCCGGTGTGATGGTGGGTGTTGCCGGTGCCATTTCCGAGCCCAGTCTGGTCACTATACTAATGTATATCTTTATGTGTATAAAGGAGAGTAGAATAGCCGCAGATCAATGGCTGGGCAGTCGCATGTATAGCTCAAGTCGTCGGTCGTTGGAGCAAGTTGGCCGTAGGAAACCAAGGAGGATGTTGTGGGGGCCGCGTCCTGACATTGTATCTCGAGCGAAAAGGTTCCGAAATTCGTTCCCACTCCAGTCTCCAGCGAAGTAACCTTGAACGGAACGGGCGGAGCTGTAAGGACGAGTTACTGACTTCATGGCGAACGCTCTCCACAAACTCGCGCGAGCCCGCGGCGCCGGCGGCGCGTACCTAGCACGTGCCCATTGAAATTCTACTCATGCCCGTCGGCGGGGAGCTGGTCCTGGCTAGAGACTTGCCAGTAACGTCGACACTGCTGAGCAAACTCTTAGCGACCGTCATACCGTGTACTTTCCTGCGACTCTTAGTGAACCCTTTGACTCCACACAACTCAATCCAAGCTGGATAGGGAAGATCAAATGCTCATCACTATATCCAATATTGGCCGGCCAGAAGGTACTTATATTGTGCGGCTAACTTCGCATTCAATCATTGACTATATTCCTAGATGTATGTACGTTCCCCATTGACTCGGGTCAGGATGGGCGCGACGTAGCTGCTGCACCGCTGAATCAAGCGCATACGCCACATCGTCAGGGTCAATGTACTCCGAATCACCCTCGAAGATACTCTCGTACACAGATCGAGCGATCGTGGGGCCGTCGACATCTTGCATTGACCTGGTAACGATCCGATTTTTTGACTGGATAAGCCTGAGTGACAGCCCTCTTTCATCCGCACACTCACCACAAAGTGGCGATCACGCTCTTGAAACCGGCGAAGAGCATCGCGGCCGCCAGATGCACCGCTTGGTCGGGTTGACCCTAGGATGTTGAAGCCGGGGGCTTAGCAAGCGCACAGGGATCGGAATTCATGTGATCGAACTCGCCTGATGTCCCTTCGCGGTCTCGCAAGCGCTCAGAAACGCCAGGAACGCGCACGGAAGCGGTACCGGAACCAGCCTTTCGATAGTGAGCGTTTCGTCGTGCAGCACGAACCCGCTCTTGAGCGGGTCCTGCGGGTCCTGATGACCGTGGCACGCTAGGTGCAGTATGGTCGCCGAAGGCAGCCTGTCCAGCAGTGCCCCCGCGGTGATCGCGCCATCGGGAACGCCAGCCTCCGCACTCGGGCTCACCCCGATCACTGTCCCCTTCTGCAGAGCAGTTGTGACGGCCATGACCTCCTCTCCCGTGGAAAGAAGGACATCCCATTGTCCTGTGGCAGGCCGAGGAACCGCAGCGACAAGTGCCTTAACGTCGCGCTTTTTCACTGGGGTGGACGCGGCTCTGGCCGCCACGAGAGCACCAAGAGTGGGCGTATATGAAGACACCACGTAGTCCGAGCACCATTCTCCATCGGCGCCTGCGGCATGAATGGGAAGATGGGTGAGGTTCCCCGTCGGGCACCACCATAACCGTGGCCGGTTTCTCCCCGCGGCAGGCTAGGCAATGGAACCCCAAGTCAGTCCCTCTGTACTCTATGCTTCTCATGTGGATCTTCTTTGCTCACCTTAAGTTCCAGCGCATCGAATACTGGCCGCACAATGTTCACCCACATACTGCGCAGGATGTTGTGGGCCACCGTTTTAGCAACCGTCCCGCACTTCGCCATCTTCAGGCGGTTCACCACGGAGGACCTCGCCTTGGCCATTGTAGCACTCCAAACGGCACATGACTCGTTGATCCAAGTGTCTGCTACACCGTCGAGGCGGATGCTCTTCGTACCGCCTGTCCGCTCAATAATGACCGCATGGCAAGATAAGGCGCTGGAAATGAGCACGACCACCGGCCCTCTCTCCGCAGCCTTGGCTAGCGCTCGAAATTCATCATGGAGCATGAACCGTTCTAAACCCGGATGACTGCGGACTTGCGCCAGCAAGGTAGCGAACTCTTCGCTCTGCCGTCTCCTACGGGCGGCGTGTTTTTCCAGAGCGTGCGAGTCCCGGCCCTGGGAGATCTCATCCCGCCCACAGTCGTCAACTCTATCCAGCTGCCGCGCGAGAGCCGACAACCGGACGCGCAGATTCTCTGGCACGTCGTCGAATGGAGATCGTAAGCGCAGAGCGTGTGTCCAGAAAATCGCTCGACCTTGCTCGAGGATTTCGAGCGCCTTCTCCGGAAGGGACTGATTGAGCGCATATGATGCGCCGCAGAGAGCGATGTTCTGACCGCTCGTCAAAGACTGCAAACGAGAACGCAGGTCAAGTCCGAAAAAGGCGATGCGGGGTAGAAGGGAGATGACCTTGACGTATATCTCGAGAAGCTGCGACGGTACGGGATATGGAGCGGCGTATACGTCCTCGTGGTGTGTCCTCACGATATCTAGAAAACCCTCCGCGCTTTGTAACCTCGACCGAACGTCCATGCGATCATCCATAAGGGCTTCCAAGAAATGCGTTAACGCGGTGGGAACGTTTCGATACGGAGTGTTACCCTCGATGTATAACTCAGCAACCCCGATTAGGCATTGGTAACGATCGAGACAACCTGCAGGTACTAAACGTAGTGATTCCTCTAGCAGATTCAATGACCGTACGGCGTCGTCGTCATCACGAGTCAGACGGAATCTGGCCATATGACAGGCGGCGAGGACCCGGAGCTGTTCGACATCCACTTCCACCAGGAATATTCTGCATTGGCCTTTGACCGACTCCAACTCGTTAATGGCTCGATCAATCTCGGCGGGGTCACCAAGGTGTCGCCCTCGTAAAAGGAGTGCTTTTGATAAGCACGTCAGTGCCTGCATTTTGCGAAAGGCGGGCAAGGTCTCTCTGCTCGCGCACAGGCTCTCGGCCAGCGCTATAGCCTCCTCCAGATCGCCTACGATACCAAGCGACTCGAACCGCATGGTTAGAAGGAAGGCTCTCAGGGAGGTAACCGAGCCATGCAAGAGTTGCGAGGGCGGGACTGCCGCCCTAGCAGCATAACTGAGAGCAAGTGCTTCATCGAGATCCCTGATGTCTCGTACCTGCATGAAACGCTCGGCGAGTGACTCTGCCAAGTAGCGAGCGGAGCCGAACCAATCAGGATGGCTATGGGGAAGGGCTTCGATGACCTGCCGTCCCAGTTCAATGGCCTCCTCGAGATCACGCACGTCCCCATCTCGCTTGAATTTCGTGTGCAAAGCGATGGCCAGTCCGTACGTGCATCTCCAGCGATACTCGTTACGAGGCGGAATCCCCTGCAGAACTTCACGACTCAAATCAATGCAGGTGTCCAGATTATGGCCAGGTGACGTAGTGGTTGAATGTTTGAACCCGAGTAAACCGGCAAGGGAGGCGAGCAAAAAGGTTCGGGTGTGACCTCGAGCGAAGTCTTGTTCCAGCGCCAGCCTTCCTATCTCCAGCGCCCGGTCAAAATCCTCGTTATCTCCGGAGACCTCGTACTTGCGACGGAGCCATACGATCATGGCGAGAAGTATCTTGGGCCTATCAACGTGAGCGGGAGGGCAGAGCCCCATCGCTTGCGTGAGGATCGAGATCGCCTCGTCCAGATCTCGATTATCGCCTAGAGATTCATAGCGCTGACGCAGGTAGGTACCTAACCAGCGTAGATGTCGATGCCTGTCCTGGTTCCGGGATACGGGCATCTGGGCCAACGCTCGTCGTTGGAGATCTATCGCCTCGTGGATGTACTCTGGCGCGCCCGTAACCTCATGGTACCGAAGATCAATCCATGAAAGGATACGAAGAGCGGTCGCGGTAAACGGATGTCCTGGAACACATAAAGGAATGGCCGCCTGGCATAGCGATCGCGCAGTTCTCCGATCTTCAGAGTCACTGGCGTCGTGGGCATGGCTGTCAAGCACGCTGGCGTAGAGCACCCAGACCGCAGGGCAGATCAAACCTGCCCTTTTGCAGCAGAAATAAGCCTGTTGACCATGTTCCATAGCAGAAGCAAGATCGCATTGAGAGCCAGTGTGGAGGTACCGCTCCTCAAGGGCTCGAGTCAACTGGATGAGTACGTGATGTCTTCGTGGAGGTAGATCGCAGGCTTTGACGACGACCTCTCCTTCCGAGTTAACTAGAGTAGGAGAGGACGAGTTTCGCTGTACCCTGAACGGATCGTTTGAGACTCGGAGAAGGGTCTCATATAGCTCGATCGACTTCTGTACGGCCGGGAGATCTCCCTGCTCAAGGAACTGTTCAAGAAGACGCTGGGCCTCAGCGTACGTCCCGTTCAGTTCCGCGTGGGGTACTGTTGAATATTATCAGTAAAGCCAGTGCTGTTATAGCTTTAGAGACAAGAGCACAAGGTGCGAGCACGTACGTGAAGCGCATGTACATGCATGTTCTAACTCCTCGCCTGATCCGGAATGTGGAAGAAGTGCAATATCGAAGTTCGAGCTGGTACAATCTACCATGATTCTGTGAGCGCTCGGTTATAAGAGCCGCGGAACTCATACCTGCTGACGGCGTGTTGCCCGCGGCAGGGTTTCGAGCCATCGGGAGTGGAATTGCACCTAGGAGGGTCCTCGGCGCTCTTTATGCTGCGGCTTGGATATTCATAGGTGTGGCGATGAGCGAAGGTTTCCGGCCAAGCACACTCCTTGAGTAACCGGCTGGCTTCTGGAACGTTCACCGGTGACGCGGACGATGAGATGAGCTCCTGTGGATCTGATGGACGTGGAATCGCGTATACATTCCACTCAAGTGTATGCTATACATACATGCTGTTCAAGTAGGAAATGACAGCGGGATTGCCAGAGATCATTGGTTTGATAAGGCAGACCTGAAAGCAAGACATCAGTATAGCCGTATCTAAACGATGATACTCCGGCGCACGTAGAAGAGCACTGATACAACACAGGCATTCATTCAATCCAAGAATACCTGATAGATACCGCGTGCGCTGTATCAGATGCAGGACGCCCATCGCACCCCTTCGGCACACCGGAGGCAGAGAACTCCGCTGAAGCACGCGATGGGCTGGCGGCTCACTTGGCAGCGACATGAAAGGATTGGGCATGAGCCGCGTCTTCCACATTACATATTTGGGTTCAAGATGATCTCGTCATCTTGTGGCCCGAGAAATTCCTATGAAGAGGGAACATGATGTCGTATGCCGGTCATACCCGAGCCACTGTTGCCTCAACGCGGGCTGAGCGGCATGTAGGAGAACGTGGAACGAGTTGATATCGTCTGTATATGAATCAAGCAAGTCTGACCTGTTTTCTTGGCTGAGCGAGGGCCGTAAGAGGAAGAGAAGGAGAAACGCACCGGTACCTGAACGCAGTTGTAGATTCGTATGATCATCGTCTGCACAGACCACTCACCTACACCTTGTCTGACCCCTAGCACCCCATCATCAGGCTCCCGAAAACGGTCGTCTCCTTGGTTGCGATAGAGACGTGTCTGCGAGCCTCCTCGCACCCCGCCTGACCCAGCGAGTGCTTGTCTAGGTATCCACCTTCCTTCTCCTCCATCTGGGTGACACAATCCGAGCTGCATCGGGAGGCAATGGCGCAAATTCATCGTCCTAGGTAGTAGTGTAGCAAGCCTGTGTGAGGGTGGGGGTGTGGAGAGCAGCCTAGGAGAAGACCTGGAAGATCGTCAGGGAAGGACCATCAGGTTCTTGAGCTGGTGATGTCCGAGTTCAACTTGACATCGTGGAGGTTAGTCTGGTCATAGCATGCCCGGGGGTGACATCGATGCAAAGAACCAAGAGCAGCCAGGTCCTTCGAATCCTTCAGAGCATGCGCACATCCTGCGCGCAACCGGAATAGCCCGACGTCGAATCGAATTCACCACCACCACGGGGACCACCGGTGCTACAATATCCTGTCAACTCGCCTGCCTATCTATCAATATATCTACCGCATCGCGAAAGAAGAGTCCACAAATGTATATACAAAAAAGGGGGAGGAGGGGGACAAAATATCCGAGTTACAAGCTATGAGTCAACTAGTCCAACAGACGAAAGAAGCAAAAGACATGTCTTAACGATCGTGAGAGGCACCAGCCCCAGGAGGAAGAACCCTCGCGCCGCAGCTCGAGCATCAAACCCGTCCACCCCGCGACCATCATTCACAGGTCAGTCCGCAACGCAACCTGCGAGCGAGTTGAAGGTCCCCGGGGTTGAAGGGTTCTTTTCGTATTCGCGTCGCCGGGCTGTATCCGAGAGCCGTCCGCGGGACCTTCATACCGAAAACGGCGCCTCCTTTCGCTGCTGTACGTCGCCAGAAAAAAAAATTGTCAGAAAACTCCGGCACGAAGATTTAGATAAAGGAGCACGTACGAAGCTCCGGATCGAGGCAAGGTCGCAGTCGCGGTCATCGCTACGAATCGATGGTGAGCCTCACAGCGGGGCATCTCACGCACATCCGCGCTCACCTGTCCGTGCTCAGCTCGACCTTCAACACGATGTTGCCCCCGAGCGCCCCGTCCATCGCCTGCCGCGCCGAAGACGAAGACGACGACGACGACGACGACGACTCGCGCGCCGCGAGCCTGAACGGCTCGAACTCGAGCAGGAGCACGAAGAACGTGAAACAGTAGAGCTTGGACAGCTGCTGGTGGAAGAGGAGGGTCGTGAACAGGTCCGCGGCGACGAAGGTGACGAAGGTGAAGACGTGGACCAGTCTAACACATAAGTTTTCCAAACGCGTCTCGATCAGCAACGGATCTCACGAGAGATGAGGGGAGAAAGGAGGGAAGTGGGGGAGGGAGGGGGGTGACGTACAGGATGAGCACCCCGCGCGTCAGGACAAAGTTGCACATGCGCATGATGGTGCCTTCAGTCTGTCTGAAGCCCATCCGGGACGCGCCGATGTAGAGGTAGAGAGACACGGTGATGAGCACGTCGCCGAGCGCCGCGAGGCCGATCCCGCTCGCGGTGAGGATCTAGGTGCAACATTAGAGGGGCATTGGGCACGAGCCTCGACGGTGCATCACGTACCATCATCGACGGACGGTGCAGGACGTCGAGCAGGTCCGCAGTGACCATCTTCGCGGACGATACTGGAGAGGTGTGCCGCTTCAGCGAGCGAAGATAGATGGAGACGGAAGGGGGCTTCTCACCCAAGGAGACCACGAATCCCGCAAAGATACAGAGGAGCTGCGGAAAAGCGAGGAGGGACGTCACCGCAACATCCGACATCGCGAAGGGGGACAGAACTCACCAGCAGCGAGTTCACCACGTACGCTTTGCTCTCGCCGCGACTGAGCCTCCATGACCGGTAGCAGAAGAACCTGTTCTCCTCGTTCAGACCTCGCACTTTCGAACATCGCGGCGATAAGTCGAGCAACGTACATCTGCACCGCGAATATCACCACCGACGTCGTCACGTTGTACGCCGCAAACCCCCACGACGTGCCCGCCAGCGCCGATACGTCCGCGTAGCGCGTGATCAAGATGTAGTACAACGTGTGACCCGCTATCCGCAGAAGAAACGAAGAGCAGTCAGCGTCGACCCCAATCAACTCCGTAAATATGATGGGACACCCACTGAAACCCGTGATCGCGGTCTCCACGACGCTGCGGCAAAGGAGGGAAATCGCGGTCAGCCCGACACGAGAACCAAAGAGAGGACCAGCGACATACACGAGCAGCGCCACTATCACCCGGACCAGCAACGGATCCCGTCTATATTCGCTCAAGTACCTGAAAGCCTAGCATCGCCAGAGGTCATTACTCGCGGTCATACAATACGCGGGGAAGTCCCCGGATAACCTGCTAAACCACTCGCCTGGGACGCCGTGAACCCCAACAACGCCGTAGCGATACAAAACCCGACAAACACCAGCCCGAAGTGCGTCTCAGCCAAGCTCGTGGGCGGTGCGCGGGCTGAAACGGAACGATAGCTGTCGATCATGATGACGTCGTGGGCGGCGAGAGAGAGAGAGAGACGACAGGCTAATAGTGGAATTAACGCCGGACCAGCGGGGTGGCAGAGAGAAGGGGTGGAAACGAGGCGCCTGGCTCGAGCCTCTAACGACGACCTTGACAGTTTAATATGCCAGACAAACCGACGGAGGGACCATCAAAGACGTGATGGGAAGTTCGCTGTTAGGCAATCTCTGTGAGAGCCATCCGCAGAGTGAGCTCGAACGGTGACGGGTGTGGGATCACGCACGTGTCGTTTACGATTAGATTAGATGGCGGGTACGACGATCGTAACAGCGATACTTACTGCAGTGGCTTGACCCCCATAATATCTTTGTCATGCCCTGGCCAGCCAACAGTCCAGACAGAAATTGTATGGAATGTGCTTGGCATTATATCGAACTTATCTTCTAGCTCTTTGTCCTTGGCCACACAATCTGGACAAGCTTCGCAAGGCCATACAGCGCGAGTGGGAGACAGTGAATGTGCACTTCCTTGAGGGTATGCCACATCGTGTATATGTTCTAAAGGATGTTAAAGGGTCATATATGAAGTATCAATGGTTTTCTTGCTGTGTATCCATGACTATTCATTCATCACCGAATCTCCAGCAACATTCAATTGCTACACACACACAGCGAAGGATCTATCGAGCCTCTTCATGATACCGACATCCAATAATTCTGCAATACACTCTGTAATGGTGTGAGGTCAGGCGGCTGAATGTTGTGGCTAAGCAGAGCAAGCCTCCGACGTGCTCTGGTGGATACTTCTATTTCTTGGAAAAGTTAGTCCAATGGCTGTGCGTTGTGTCAGGGAAAGACCGGGTGAGTCGAGAGAGCTCCTAGCAGTAGCCTGTATATTTTACGGTAGCCTTAGAACCAATGTAGAGATTTGCGAAGCCGATTTGTTGAGGAGGAGCGTGGCAAAGTCCAACATAGTCGATAGATCGGAGTGTCGAAGAGGGGCGACGATTCATGGCCATTAGATATCGTGAGTCCAGGTTCTGAGAGGCTTGAATCCGGTTGTGTTAACGGGAATAAAGATGTCAATGGGTTGCTGTAGCGGTATGTCGAGTTGACTCTTTTTAACACACAGGATCTCACAGACTGTCTCAAAGGGCTTGGGAGAACTCAGATGCATTTCTGAGAGCGGTAGGCTCTCTATAGATATCATACTTTATTCACAACGGCTGAATCTCGGTGTCAAGGTCCGAAACAATCGTGAGAGAAAATAAGTAGGGGGTGAAAACTGAAGGATGACAGGGTTCTGGAGAAGGTTAGGACCGCCGGAGGCCGTCTCAACTCGGTAGAATTCTCAAAAATGGAGATAGTAATAGAGTTTCTGCGTTTACATGGTTTATGTGTTCGTTCTTATAGCGGCGGCTCCAAGTTTCTGAAGGGGATTGGTCATTTTGAGGGAAGTTGGGTTCTTGCTGAGCTTTTGAGGCAGCTTTTGGAAGGCTCTATGCTTGACACAATTTGGGACAGGAACAATAGGATTGTAAAAAGTGTTTTAAAGAAGATCAGATGAATAGCGAGCTTTTGGGACACGAAACAGGAGTCGAGCGGCGGGGCGCGGGCGGGCAGTTACCGGATAAGGCAATTTACACGCCCACAAAGGCAATCAGGCTGTGCTGCTCGTGCTCGTTGTCTTGCGCTCAGGCTCACTGTTCGCCTCATGGCTCGTAAGTCGATATATTGTGCTATCCTACTCAAATACGGCCTTGCGGCACGACACCAGCTGGAAAAGCAAGGTCACATCTGGTTCAAAAGTGAGGGCACAGCCCATAAATCCAGGCGAAAATTGTCCAGCTCGTGATGAATACATCATATAGCGGTTCGCGGAGTCGACGTCTATGCAACGGTTTCTTGACGTTCGCGCCGCTAGTCTGATACACCATGCCGTAGGCAAGGAAAGCTCATACCGAGAACGGTGCTTCTTTTCGCTGGCGTCGGTATCGCGCAATGAGCACAGGTCGCACTCAGCATTTCCAACATACTTACGGAACTTTGGAGAGAGGCGAGATCGAACTCGCGATCACCCGAGCTAATGATATGAAGCACGTCAGTTCGCGTTTGATTAACCCATACTCCTAAATCTCACCTATCCGTATTGAGCTCGACCTTGAGGATGATATTCGAATTCAGCGCGTCCTGATAGCTTCCCTGACGCGAAGGCGCGCGCGATGCCAGGCGGAATGGCTCGAACTCCAGTAGGAGAACAAAGAATGTGAAGCAGTAGAGCTTCGACAGCTGCTGATGGAAGAACAGGCACGTAAAAATGTCGCAGGCCATGAAAGTCACGAACGTGAGGACGTGACAGAGGCTGCATAATTTCCGATGAGACTACGGAAAGGGAAAGGAGAAGGAGAAGGGTGATCGTACAGAATGAGGATGCCACGCGTGAGTACCCAGTTACACATGCGCATGATCGTGCCTTCCGTCTGTTTGAATCCCGTCCGGGACGCGCCGATATAGAAGTATAGCGTTGCCGTGATGAGGATGTCGCTGAACGCCGCGAGCCCAATGCCGCTCGCGGTGATGATCTGGTGCCAAAGAGTAAGGTCTTCATCCAGGATTGAGATTCGAGTGACGCACTTCCAGCGACGGGTTTCTCAACGCATGAAGGAGATCTTTTCGGACCATCTTCGCAGAGGAGACTGGATGCGACTATCAAGGACACCAGCAACTCGGGGGGCGATGGTTCGCTCACTCATAGACATGATAAATCCAGCAAAAATGCAAAGAAACTGGTAAAAAAGCGAGTTCTGGTCGGGATGATTCACAATATTTGTAGGTAAGACTTGCCAGCAGCGAATTAATCAGGTTAGCCTTCATTTCACCCCTACTCAGCCTCCATGATCGATAGCAGAAGAACCTGTCATGCCGCGTTTGATCGTGACAGAATATACGACACGATCGCGGACGTACATCTGCACCGTGAAGATCACCACCGATGTCGTTAAGTTGTATGCCGCGAAGGCCCACGACGTCCCGTTCAGAGCGGAGATATCGGCGAAACTCGTGATGAGGATGAAGTAAAGCGTATGCCCCGCTATCACGAAGCTCAGTATCGACATGCACAGTGTGCATTCCGGACGTGGATGACTCACTGAAAGCCGTAATCCCGATCTCCACCGCACTGTAATCGTCAACGAACGGTCAGCGAAGATAGGGCTTGGTCTGCGAAGAGAGCCCACGCACGCCAACACCCCCACGACTATCCGCACCAGCAGTGGATCTCGCCGACATTCGCTCAAATACCTGCAAGCCTAAGCGGCGACGGCGTCGTTAGTATCATCAGACACGGCCGGAAGCAACTCACCTGCGAGACGGTGAACCCCAGCAACGCCGTCGCAACGCAGAACCCAATGAACAAGAAACCAAAGTGCGTGTCGGCCAGGCTAGCAGGCTGCGCGCGTGTTGACAGGTGGGCGTCGATCATGATGAGAGGATATACGTGTACGATGGAATTGTGCCGGTCCAGCGGGGAGAAGGGATGAAATGCCTCTCTCAATCCTAAGCCTCGCTGACCTGGGAGTTAATATGGTTGAAACCGGCAGCGCCATCAGGGAAATGATGGATTTGAACGCTTTTAGCTTGATGGGAGAGGACATCGTAAGCAAGAAGTGCGAACCGTCACGGTGTGCCCTGTGTGGCCGCAGCTGGGATAGTATCCCGCAGGATCACGTGCCGCTTTCTGTTTGCGATGCAAGTTTGCGGACCCGAGGTGTGAAACAGAGTACATCGAACCTGAAACGTTTACACAATTCTAGATGCAGTACTGCATGTCCCTATAGCGACTATAGATACACGCAAGAGACAGCCCGGAGACCCTGATCTACTCGGCAAGCTGGCGTGCTGTCTCTCCTTTGGCATTTTTGTAGAACACAATCTCTCCGGAATCTTCTATGAACCTGCACTCAGTGAAGGTTCGGTATAGTGCCCTGAAGCAGTTCTGCGGAATGATAAGTATATGATCTCCTCATTTAAGATGATCTGCCCACGGTGGTGTCGTAATTATAATCGTCCTTCAGGAGCTCCTTGAGATGCGCCGTCACGTTGGGTTGATTGTCTACGTATACGAGCGGTGAGACTCATGCATATCAGTGCGAGCTTATACTCACAGAAGGGTATATTTGAGAAGAAATGATGAGCCAGATGGTCATGAGAAGCCTGTAACGGCTTCCGTGAGTAATTTAGCGGACGCGAAGTCGGGATGTACCGAGCGTACGTTATGCAGAAAATGCCTTCCTATCCATCCCATGAATGGCCTATCTACGGTAGCAAGCGCCCCGCGCACGAAGGACCACGTTTTGCCTCGGTAATGTGGGATTGTGGGGTCCGTGTGTTGCAGATATGTCAACATGATAATCCAGTGATTAGACAACTAAGTGCGAGAGATGCTCGTTGTCAGACGTATTTTCGAAGGAATCAACAAAGATATTACCAGGTAGGGAATGACATAATGGGCCAGTAACGCCTTGTACCCGTAGAGCCGTTTGAACATGTGCAAAGCGAATGCCATGGCGACCAGGCCGACATCGGAAGCGATGATGAGGTTCCGCTCTGAGGGCTTGAAGAAGACGGAGGACGGGAGGAAGTGCTATGATACAACGTGAGAGCGCGTCGGTTTGAAACGGCACCGAACTCACGTTTGTCCCTTTCGGGTATTTCAGAGACCCCTTGACGTTGAACATAAGGTACGACGGAAGTCCGAACAGCTGCATGATGACAATTTTCCCGAAAACATATAATGGCGTCTCGTCGAATATATCTTTGTAGTCCGCAGGAATCATCGTCGACTCGGGTGGAATCCCAAGGTGGGAGCGGCTTCGGGGGACGTAGATCTCATCGCGTTCGAGAGATCCTGTAGCCTTCTGGAAGATGATAGAAGATATCAGTAGAAGCAGAAAGATGGAGGAAACTCCCACGTACATGATGTGCGCGGTGTACGGATCGCCACGAGAAATACGGAACGAAGACGAACTACGTTCCAGACTCATGCATCGGTACCGCGCAGCGCAGCTTACGAAACTTCACGTACCGAGTGCAACGCAAAACCGGCAACGTGATTGATCCACTTCTTAGGCGAAAGACTCTCATGTCCAGCTTCGTGAGCTAGACATAATTGTTATTATACACACTGGTAGCTGAAGGTCGCAGAAAGCGCACCGAGACACCAGATTCCTGTGAACGCTATCCCCTGCCACCACCAGTACATGACCCATAGGAGGCCGCGCACGCATGACTCCAGTGTTGGGCTTCGTGTGTATGTCCGAGTTGCGTGTGCGATGTCGCCGATGTACGAGCTCAACAGCCAAAATAATACGGGGTATCCGATGGTTCGAGCAACGAAGTAGAGGCCCGTAGAGGTTGAACGTTCGAAGAGCTTCCTCGGTACAACCGCGCGCACTTGGGAGATGGTCACCTGCTCGAGTTATTCTAGGCCTGTTGCTTTGATGAATCGAAAAGGGGAACCTACTGTCGGAGCCTTGAACGCACGGCGCTTGCGTTCTTCATACTCTGGAGCGTCAGAGAAGAGAGGAGCGGTAAGAGACATCGTTGCTTTGTTGTGACTGAGGGGGGCGGGGGCTTTCAACACCTTGCTTTGTTGTGGCTGCTGGGGGGCGTTTAACACCTCCATTCCCTGCAAGTAAACAGGCCTTTATTGGTGTGAAGTTGCGGTTTGCAGCGCCTTCATTGCATGTCACCCGTGAGCGAATTCCACTAGAGCCGATTGTACGGATATGGTAGTGGTTTCGATAGAATGATGTTCGAACACGGCACAGGAGACGGAGATCACTGTAAAATGTCCAAAATAGCGTAGAAGTGAAGCACGGAATGCACGATCGCACCACCGTCGAACACGGAGATAGGGTGCGGCACCGGGTTGGCGTCCGACCGACGTTTCCCACGCATACACGCGGGCCAACTGACTTCGTGCCCGAGAACATCAGATCGTAAGAGGGGCAGTAAACACCATACCACAGATACCGGTGCGGCGTTAGCGTCCAACTCAGGAGAAAGCTGTCCGACGATGATTGGGCAATGCAGTCCTTCGTACAGCCAACACTGCCATTCTGATTCGCGATTGGGTGGCGTTGGACTGCATGTGTGAGATTCAAGCCCTTCCAGTCAGCCGGTGGCGAGGCAAGTCCGCGCGATCCGATGTGACCGGTGTTAACTGACGGGCGGGCGCGGAGCGCGCATGACCCGTTCGCAATGCGAGGGTAAGATTGCTGGATGCACATGTACAGCAATCAGATAATAGTGAGCACTGAACGCGCACTGACTTCTCATACTCCAACAACCGGCATCGCCGATGTCCAACCGCGCACACATTGATAAACTTGCCCGCATCCACTGGCATTGTCTCATATCATATGCAGCATACACAGATGAGAACAACGTAGTACAAGTGAGAAACAGCCAAATCGAGGCTTGGTACGCTATACCTGGCAATCAACGCTCTCCGCATTGGCTTTCTCGGAGTACGAGATGTCATCCGATACCGATGGGGGGCAGAACCATAGCTTGCGACAGGATTTCCAGCAAACCCAGGTATGAACGATATCCTATGATTAAGTCAGAGTCATGATAAATCGACATAACGGTTGACACGCGTACTCCTGATAGTCCAAAAAGCAGGAGACAAGCAACATGAACTGTGATACTTCGTGAGCACCAAGGCGAATGCAGATCAAGGGTAGTGAAGACGTTACCCATTGCCAGAATGACATGCTCGAACTCGCTGAATATGACCGTCTGATTGATAAGATGAACGCAGGTTATCCTACGAGTAGGTCATTCAGCTGTTGCCGCCTTCACTGTCCTGCAGCTCGTAAGACCTACGCGACGACAATGATATCCAGAGTCGAAAATGTCACAACTCGTATCAGAAGCCCAAGCGTAGGTCGTGCGGACTCCAGGTAGCCATACGATCGCCAGATTCGATAGTGGTGTCTGACGCATAAGCCCTCGAGGACTAATATCACGAGCGCTCCTATCGCCGAAAGAACGTTGGTGATGATACCCCTGAATGCCATCGTTTTGTGTGTTTTCTAGTCAGCGTAAGGCGCTACTCACGGGAGTCTGGTACCATGACTGCAATATAGTCCACTCTCGTCGATGTTAATTGTGTCAAGCCGTGCGATCCCGATCTGAGAGCCTATGTTCGATAGCCTTGACCGGACGTGTAATGGGCGGACCAACCTCAAAATTGATGACCACAACAGTTAAATATGCTATGTAAGGGAGCACGAGCAGCTAGACGTTTTGTCAGCTCTGGATTTTTCATGACGCTCGCCTGTGTCACTCACCGAGAGCGTCTGCTCCTCTGGCCTTCGCTTTGCGTCTTGTTCTCTGCCGTTCTTCATGAAAGCTGACGTGGCAAACCACAGCTGCAGCATCCAAGCAATTCCGGTCGCGGTGTCACTGACGGTTTACATGAGTTGGTGTGTTAATTCCTACGAACGACGAATGTGTGCACTAACAGTACCGGTGCTGCATAAATCAAAGCAGCTTGGGTTAAGCACAAGTTCAAGGGAGGATTTTTTCCGAGAGGTGTGCCAGAGAAGGCTCTGACATCGTTATGGTGAGAGCGAGTCACGCCGCTTGGAACGATGTAGCTCACAGCAGACTGTACGATATGGCGGAGACCATCCAGCTATGCATTTCTGTGAGTGAGAGATACTACTGGCATGAAGAGTTATTACACTAACGCAAAACAAAAGTTAAACCACGCGGACATGCGGCGAATCTTGTTGCACACGAGCGCCGTCGCAATAACCAGAGCAAGGAGAAAGGCGGCGGAAAGCAATGTCGCGAACCAAAAGGTTCGAATCTGTGGCGAGACCGTGCTCGAGCCCGATTCTGTGAGCTTGTCAGCACATACGACTACCGGAGCCGACGTAGCTTACGTTGCACCATCTTAGAGTATGGTAGCTTCTTCTGCCTTCTGTAATAGAATAACACGCTGAAGCGGAACTAATGAATGTAGAGGTCAGCGTGCCCAGTGACAGTGTAAAGCCAGCGAATGTTGACGGCCAGCGACAATCGAGAATCAGTCTGGGGGGCGTAAAGAACCAGGCCGGACCTGACTTGCATATCGGATGTTGCTTTTTCAGTTCGTGCACATGGCGGCGTAGCGTGGCAAAGTATTTGGTGTATTTACAGCCAGCGCCCGCCGATACAGTCTTCCCACCTTCCGAGGGGGTGGTATGATGAACTCGGTGCACTACACTAGGTCACACGAATACGTTGACAAGGCTGTCATCTCAACTGGTCGCCGCTCTTGCGCGTTTCGAGATCCGATCACATCGCGGTATAGGTATATTTCCGGCGCGGTCCCGACAGCGGAACCGAACAACCGGTCGCCGCACCGCACGTGCGGGACTTAAGTCGCGTGATCAATGGGGTATCTACAAGAGATCGTCAGCGCAGTACTGCACTCAGGTACCACATTACCGAACTGAACGACGCGGTGTCATGACTCCGCGGCGGTTTCGGCCTTTGTACGGCATTGCAACGCAGTAAACCAGGCGCGGCGTTGCATCTTCTATGGAAGGTAGCATTCGTGCTCATATCTGCCCGTAAATAGCTCAACGATCAGAATCTCGCCCGGTGGTGTCGAGAAGTTGATGCAATGTCTTGTATACATCAGGACAGCACTTTTGCTGTCTCGTCCCGACGCCGAGTGAGGGGGGTCTCCAAATTGTGCCAGCACTACCATAAGCATGGATGGGAGAAGGCAACGCGGTCTCGTGGGTGAATCCAACTGCGCACCTCCTGAATCATACCGGCACCCCAGGGCACCCCCGGCCCCGGCCCCGGCCCCGGCCCCGCCTTGTGAATGCAACACTCGAGCACTTAGCCATCCATTGCGGTAGTCCATTTTCTTCATAGTTGTGGACCGAAAGAATTGACGATAGCCGCCGACACATCGATCTTACGACAAAGCTGTACTACAGAAGCTTGCTTCCGTTTCCTGTTGGCACGTTCGTAATTAGGAAGCAAATATAATGCAGTCTGTACAAGGCCAAGGAAACGGTCCGGATCCACACTTTTCTTGCACCCCTCACTCAGAGTCCTCGAGGAGACTCTCCTGCGATGTCGGACTTGCTCATCTGCGTTTCCTACTCCGGGTTGAGAACGGTTCTTCATCAATGGCTTCGCTCTGACCACGACATATGACCGCACAGATCGTAGGTAGCCAGACTCGAACACCGCGCACCATTCGATCTCCTCAACCCCACCTTTTCAGGGTACCGAAGAAGCCATAAACACCGGGAACCGGTGTGAACCCGTGTGACCAAGGGTAATACCGGGACCGTGACTTGGTCACCGCCATCACTTATGTGTGGGACATCGATCAAGAGCTGCCTTCAAAAGTCCGCCTGCTATCTATATTCACCTTGGTATGATTCCACCATGCATATACTTGTCTGAACATGAAATTCAATTGATACCCGTGTGCCTTCTCGGCTTCCAGCTATTTTCGCCTCTCGGCAGCTTCGGCCGACTATAAGCTTGGAAGCAGGTATCTGTATACTTCGTGGTCCCCCTCGGTGCGTAGAACTGAGGATTACCGCCGCGATGTAGTGCAGCTCATGAGGACATCTTTTCATTGTGCCGTAGCGGGGGGGTGCTCTCCCTAGGATTTTTGTGTATTCTGTGTATGATACGTCTCCAAGACCTATAAACACAGAATCTCCATAGATATCTAAATATTCCAGGGTGATCTGCAAGACATCGCTCCGCAACCTATTCCGCCACTTGTCGTGTCGCCTCTCCCTTTGAATTTTTGTAAAACACAATGTCTCCTTCATCCTCAATGAAGCGGCATTCTGTAAACGTTCGCCACAGGGCTCTAAAACAATTCTTGAAGCGCATGAGCGATATAATATGGGAAGAAATCGGGAAGAGCTACCGTGGAGTCATAGTTATAGTCATCACGCAGGAGACTCTTCAGGTGCTCCGTCACCGCTGGGTTGGTTATCTAATGCCGTATTAGGAATGTTATAAGACTACAGAGAGGGGCCACAGACAGAAGGGTATGTTAGAGAAAACGTGATGAGTCAGATGGTCGTGCGAAGCCTGTCGAGCGATGAGGACAACATAATCGTTAACCATCAATATCACACTCACGTTATGCTGGAAAAAGCGGCCAATCCATCCCATGAATGGCCAACTCACGGTAGCTAGGGCTCCACGCAGAAATGACCGAGCATTGCCTCTGTAATGTGGGATGGTAGGATCAGTATGCTGCAGGTACGTGAGCATAATAATCCAGTGGATTGCGAGCTCAAGAAGAGTCAATTGATTCAGATGCAAGTTTCCCATAGGCCCGGATACATTACGAGATATGGTATTACATAGTGAGCAATAAGTTGCTTGTAGCCATGGAGGCGGGTGAACATATGTAACAAATACACCATGGCTACGAGGCCAATATCGGAGGCAATAATCAGATCCCTCTCAGACGGCTCAAAGAGGAGTGGAGACGGTAGAAAATGCTGAAGAAGAGAGATTCAACGATTCGTCGTGTCTAAAAGTTGCCAGCGCTCACGCTTGTCCCTTTAGGATACTTGGCAGACCCTTTGACGTTGAAAATAAGGTATGAATGTAACCCGAGGAGTTGCATCACCACGATATTGCTAATAACGTACAGTGGGGTCTCGTCGAAGATGTCACCATAGCTCGCTGGGGTCATCTTCGACGCTGACGGAATAATGAGTTGAGAACGGCTGCGCGGTACATACTTCTCGTCTCGCTCCAGCGACCCGGTGGCCTTCTAATTTTTACTCGTCTCAGTCAATGCAGTAAAGCCCAGAGCAACAATGCGTACGTGGTGGGATCTATGGGCGGACCTCCACGAGAAGTAGGATACAAATACAAGCTATGAGCGAGTTTAATTCAGAGTCATCAATCCAAAGCAATGCGTACCGAATGTAGCAGGAATCCAACTGCATGGTTGACCCATTCACGAGGAGAAATAGTCTCATGACCAGCTTCGTGTGATACGAGGAGCGAACCGTCATAATGATTCTCATGACGAACTGAATTTCGGCATACCTAAACACCATATTCCCGCGAAAGCAATTCCTTGCCACCACCAGTAGGTGATCCAAAACAAGTGATGTGTGCATGACGCCAGCGGTTCTCTATGGGTGTATAGCCTTACAAGATCGACAATTCAATCGATGTAAAATGTTAAAGTATAGAACAGATCAGGAAATCCGATTGTGCGTATGAAGAAGTAGAGGCCCGCACAAGTCGACCGTTCGAAAAGGTGTTTTGGTACAACGGCACGGACTTGAGAAATAGTATGCTGTAATATATTTGGTTAGTGTGGAGTTGAGAGCCATTCATAATCAGGGAATAAACTTGCAGTGGAGGCCTTGAATGCGCGACGCTTGCGGTCCTCGTACTCAGGGGCATCGGAGAAGAGAGATGCTGTTAGCGACATGGTCCTTCACAAGAGCTCGTATCACTTCTACTGAAATGGTCTTGCGCTGAATTCATCCCGCATGGTTTATAGGGCGCCACGGATCTTCGCGCATTGCCATTCTACACACGTCGCCGACTTTGGGTCAAAATTAGTGGACAAGCAGAACGGTGATGTTGTGAGCTACTGATGATGCATGTCCAGAATTACATCAGGAAAAATCGGACTATCGAAAGAGTCGCTTATTGGGTACCGAAACCCTCTAAAGCTACTAAATGAGCACGTTTTAGTACGTTTTAGGAGGTATTTAGCAAATCCAGTTTTTCCTGATGTATACCCGCCACAGCAGAGGCAAGGAAGTAGAAGGGGGCACAAGCAGTGGGCGTCAACAAAAATCATCTATATTCGTGTGGTGCGTACATATCGACCGTCGTTCAAGCAAGCAAGCGGGACTGCCCATGAGGTTACGTACGTTTTCACGGTATCTCGTACACGTATGAGGCCCTGGCAGCATAGTGACAGGTACTGCCATCCTTCACCGGTACGGCCAGATGACCGATTGGTTATATTGCTCACACTTCCGCCTACTTTTTTTTTTTTTTGTATCCGTGTTTATTGTCCTTTGCGGTCGAGCCGTATGTTAGACATTAAACTACTATTGTCTGATCCCCTGAGCCTCTCTAGCCCGACTGACCTGTCCGATCTGTACCACTGCCTCGGCGGGTGGGGTTTCCGCCACTGGTGAGATCTCCGTTCGGTTCAAATGCCAGATCGAGTTCCCATCCGAGAGATTTGGATCTCCAATCACTAGATGGTGAATGAACACGTTTGTATGCATATCGGAATATCGGATGCACCGCAATAGTGCGAAGCTCAGAAGGGGCTACCCTCATATTCATTACTTAGGTCTGCTCGACTGTCCGTAGAATACCACCTTCCATGACGGGCTAATGTGAACTCACCTTCTCTTTTGCTTAATCGGTGCAGCGTGATGAATGCAGTCTCAGATGAACTACAATGGTTATGCCCGCTCAGCAGTGTAATCTTGTGTCCCGGGAATCTAATGTTAGGGATTGCTCGTATTGTTGATTGCACATAAGTGATGCTGGCTCCAGACAAACTAGTGTTCCAAAAGCTCTTGAGATACATCGTGTAGGACAGACGTCAAGAATAACGCCTGCGTGATTCCCATGTTCGATATATGAATCTGATTTAATCTACACCAAGCTATCCGAGTCGCGTGCCTTGTCCACCTGCTTGATGTCGTCAATTCTGTCTGAAATTGAAGAAGGGCAAAACCATAAGTGGTGACAGCGGATCCAGCATGTGCAAACATGCATAATGTCCTGTGAGTGGGTTGGATCACTGTATAAGAACATCGTGACTCAACTACTCACCCCTGACAGGCCGAAGAGACACAGACATGCGACGTGAACTGGTATGATTTCTTAGCTAAGATGAAAGTACTTTGGACAGATCACATACCGAGGGCGAGTATGGCATGTTCGAACTCGTTGAAAATGACCGTTTGGTGCGTGAGGTGAATGAAAGTCAGTCTTTCAAACCAGCGACTGTCACATCAGGAAAACCTCTCCCTGACATTATTTATCACATATTCCCAAATTCTGCACAAATTCTGTATTTCTTCTTCAATTTGAACAGATTTGAGGATATTTGATTACATGTGCCAGCAGATCTGGGTGGATTTGCCAGCAAATTGAGACAGATTTGCAGCTAGATTTGATTGACTTGCATCAGATTTGGACTGATTTGGGTTTGCACCTATGGAATGGTGATAGTAGGTTTCCCAAGGACCAAGACACACAAGACTGGCACCTCTGAATAGTACCAGGTCTTAATGAGTTAGTAGATAATGGTATGTTCATATATTGGTCACCGATATACCATATCTATTTGAATTATAACTGATTATCATTCGAGAAAATCTTATAGCTGCCCCCCAGAACCAACCAAGGAATGGAGGGCATCTGATCCACTGGGAGAACGGTCCATGGGCCAGTCTATGGACTGTCCTCGGACCATTCCCATGGACCAACTGCCACCTGTGCATGTCTTGTCCAGGGCCACGGCATCATATGGCAGTGTTGCCATCACCACCTTTACATCTACGGCAATGCCACATTAGCATGGTCATCCTGCCCCTCACCTCCATTCCTGCCTCCCTCTTGCGTCCTGACCCATACATGGCTACTGCCCGCCCTTGAACAAACAAGGCCACTGCAACACTACTGGTTCATCTCTCTAGTGCCACATGTGGCTATGTATTACATTCTGCCTCCTGCCCACTGCTATACTGTCGCCTCACATCATTTGTATGTGGCTTCACTGACAGCTATAATGTATATAAGACACACCTAATGACATGTGTGCTTTGCACTCCATGCAAGATCTAACCTACTGTCAGAGTACACGCTGGAGCTCCTAGGAGTGGCGCGGATCCCCCAGGACGGCAGTGGAGACGCTGTCGCACAAGGCAGGGAGGCAACTGAGTATATATACGAATATACGAGGGGAAGTACACATACCTGTCGCACAAGGCAGGGAGGCAACTGAGAGAACAAGTCTGGGTTGCTCCCTGGTGCGACAGGCGACTATATAGAAGATGAGTAATCCATCAGCGGAACGAAAGATGGTCCAATGAGAGAAGAGGAGGGTCCTCGGACGCCCGACACGTGACCGGTGGAGCGGCCTAGGAAGGCCGCGCGAGTGCGGAGGCCCTAGGAGCGCCGAGCGACGGAACGAAATAGGGGAGATGCCAAAAGGAGGGCACGGGAAGCCTAGGAGGGCGCGGGAGAGTGCGACCGAATAGGGAGACGGAAGTATTAGGGGAAATGAACAAAATGGGACAGAAGCGGAAGCAGAAAAAGAGAACAATGAGACATGAGGCGAGTGTGGGAGCCGTGCCCTGACAGAATGAGGTTAATTGCTATAGAGTGCTATGAGTGCTATGTAGATGTTGGTCAGTTGCTACATAGTCCTATATAGTAACTAGAGACAACATAGCTCAGTGCTATAGCTACATAGTGATACATAGCTCATAGGTGCAATCAATATAGCACCCATAAATATGGAATGAATCTGTATAGTAATGATAGCAGGTCTCCCAATGCACAAATACCATGATTGAAACCAGACTCAGGTCTTGAATGATAATATTAGTCACTCTATATACTATTAGACTGATACATACTTATAACTATCTACAAAGTGATTAAGTTTGTGCTATCTGGAAGGCAGGGACAGTGGCCCAAAGCGGACTTAGACGAATCAACGCGGCTGACACCGGTCACGTGATGCAATCGTGACGTTGGTTGGTTGACTCGAGTCAGCTCACTCTGCTCTCCGCCGCGCTCGCAAATGCGCTGAACGCGGCGCTTGCAAGTGCGCCGTCCGTCGTCTTGCGCTTGCAAGTGCGCCGGCCCACCGCGCGGAACGTCCGCCCCCTCCTTCGCCCAACCCCCGAGCGGGAGCCGCCAACGCGGTCTCGCTGGGGGAAGCCTCCTTCTCCTCCCACCCTGGCACCCCCCCTCGACCTGCCCCGAGTGCGAGCCGCCAACGCGGTCGCACTCGGGGTCACCTCTCGCACTGGCGCCCCGCCCCGCCCGCCTTCGACCAACCCCGAGCCCGAGCCGCCAACGCGGTCGGGCTCGGCGTCGCATCCCGCCCCGCGCCCGCCTCCGACCAGCCTCTCGCCAGCCTCTCGCCCGCCTTCTCGCCCGCCTCCCCGCCTCTCGCCGCCTTCTCGCCGGTGTCTCCGCCTCTCTCCGGCCTCTTGCCCGCCTCCCCGCCTTCTTGTCCGCCTCTCGCCCGCCTCGTCTCCTTCTCGCCGGCCTCTCGCCCGCATCCTCGCCTTCTCGCCCCCTCCGTTCAACGCCGCGCTCCCGCCTCCCCGCCTCTCCCCCGCCTCTCTCCCAGCCCCGGGCCCGAGCCGCCAACGTGGTCGCGCTCGGTGTCGCGCCCGCGCTCGCGCTCGCCCCCGCTCTTCGCCCAACGCCGAGCCCGAGCCGCCGACGCGGTTTCGCTCGGCGCTGCTTCCACTCCCCGCACCGAGCGTTGGCCTAGCGCCGAGCCTCCCTGTCTCGCCCCCTCTTCGACCAGCCCCAAGCGGGAGCCGCCAACGCGGTCGTGCCCTGCCGTGCCTCCCCTGGCCCCCGTTTGCCCAACGCCGAGTGCGAGCCGCGAACGCGATCGGTTGGTCGCACGTGCTTGGTGTCCCCGGTATGCCCCCTTTGAGATCTCCGGCACACCCACCTTGCCTCGGTCGCACCGAACTGTCCTGCCCCAAGTAGTTCGTAGGTTGTTAGAGGTGCTTTCTGGAGTTCGTAGTAGTAGTGAATTGTATATGTAGTCTTTATGAACTATGCTTGTTCCTCATTGAACTGTGGTGATGATACTAGTGAAGAGGAATGGTCATCAGCAGCAAGCCCTCATCCCTGCTGCTTTTATGCTATGTTTGACCCATTCTGCTCCAATTGGGTGCTATATGGTCAAATTTGAACATATCTACTGGACTAAGACACTAACAAATCTGAACAAATTTGAACAGATTTGAACAGTTTTGAATATATACCATTAAAGGCAGTCATATCTTCAGTAAATCCCTGGGGGGGACCTTCCATATTTGATTCAATATTGCAGGATTTAGGATAATATTTCATAAGATGGGATGATCTCCTCAAAGTGGATGCTATCATATCAAATGAAAACAATTGCTGGTGTATCTTCATTATGTTTACTGCAGATAAGGCTGGGGGTGGTTTTCCTGATGCAGCTCAGAAGCAAACGCGACCTTGTCTAGCGAACATACATCAAGATAGTAATGTCAAAGGTCGAAAACGTGATCACCCGGATCAAGAGCGCAAGGGTGGGTCTTGCAGACTCGAGGTAGCCATATGAGCGCCATATCTTGTAATGGTGCCTAACACATAGACCCTCCAGAATGAGGATGACGGATGTACCAATAGCCGATAAGGCGTTGGTAATCATTCCGCTATATAGTACATGAGCTTTGAGTACCAGAAAATGGACAAAGATTTTGTCATAAATACTGACGGAAGTCTTGTGTAATGACTGCAGTATAGACCGCTTTGGTCGAGATGAACACTTTCTATCTGACTGATCCCAATCTAGCGTCGATCAAATAGGGCCAAATTATGAGCCTTCTTTCCGATATCATGTAGGAACACATACTTCGAAGTTGAATACAACGACTGCCAGGTAAACTATGTAGGGAAGCACGAGCAGCTGACCGATGTATAAATCAGAATATCTTTGGCCGCGACGATTGAGTATCACTCACAGAAAGAGTTTGTTCCTCTGGTCTTCTCTTTGCATCTTGTTCCATGCCGTTCTTGAGAAACGCTCTCGTTGCAAACCATAGCTGCATCATCCACGCAACTCCGGTAGCTGTGTCACTGTGAGATGGGATTTGTTAGCCTCTTCCCAGGCGCAGAAGAAGTATAAGCTCATACAGAACTGGAGCAGAATATACGAGAGCAGCCTGCGTGATACATAAGTTGATCGGAGGGTCTTGTCCTACCGGTGTTCCGGAGAAAGCTCTGCAATGATGTTGAATGCGATGCGTCGAGAGTCGATGACGAGATCAGACCCACAGGAGACTGTAGGAGACAGCAGATATTGTCCAGCTATCCACAGATTAGGTGAATAAGCTTAATGCGTAACGCAAACCGCCACGAACCTGAGACAGAAGTTATACCACGCGGACATGCGACGTATTGTCTTCGACAACAACGCGATAGCAATGACCACGGACAGAAGTGCGGCAGAGGTTAGCAATAGTGTCAGCTGCCTTTGTACAAGGAGTGCGGCTATTAGCCAGGGCTCTGCTTGTAGAGAAATCGCGGCTAATAGCCAGGGCTGGCCCAGTAGGCTGTACCAGGCTGTATCGCGGCCCTGCGGCCCATTACAAATCAATGTATGACCATTTTGGGCGTCGGCTAATGCTCACTCGTGCGAAAGCGTTGAATAACGGGCTCGGGGCTTGGGTCCCGGGGTGTTCTCCGTGGGAAACACTCATCAGATGTCCTTCCGGGCGGCTGGTAGGACCTCCGAGTGTGGGAATTGGCCTCTGATGTCATCGGAGACCCGATATCAGGCACGCCGATGCTTCTTAGAAGCATTCCCGGGCGGTAGTGGTTCCTCCCAGGTGGCTGGCTGCTTAGCGTACATCTTTTGCGGCATGGTATGATAACAAAAGTTGTATGTAGTTGCATGTAGAATACTATGGTGTAATTTTTTCGAACATAGCATTCACGGGAGATTACCAAATAAGGAAATACTCGACTTGGAAACACAGAATGTGTATTTCCTGCTTGCAGACAGATTGCACAGGTGATCCTGAGGTTACCAGGGAGTTTATTGCACTCATTATACATTTTACCATAGTTACATGACAAGTTAATAGGGAACTAATATGTTAAAAAGGCGAAAATATGGATGGGGAAGGCAGAAACATGGGATACGATGTACATGCCCAAAGGCGGCCTCATATGTTGTACAAAGGATGGATGGTACAGTACTAAGTGCACGTGGAAAGTTTAAAGAAGAATGGGGATGGGTTGAGGCGTCGATGAGGGGGAATGTGTGGAAATGAGGTCAAAAACAGAGATAGAAGAACAAGGACCGAAAATGAGATGAAAGGAAAGCAGATATAGCTTATGTATCATCAGAGTCGGCATATAAGACCGTATATTCGAAGATCTTACGGTGGGAGAACGAGAGACAGAGTGAAAAGGGGGTGGGGAGGCACAATCTTCGAATTATCTCTTGATCGGCGACGTGAACTTCGGATATGATCTCAGAATTAAATTCGTCATGGAAATCGGGTTCTATAGAAGCCTAAGATTATGGAAAAAGGTGGGAAACTCGTTGAGTAATGGAGAGGGGAGGGTGAGGAAGAGAGGGAGGGGGCGTTCTACAACGGCTGGACATCACGTCAGGCGCTCGTAGGATTATGTTTAAGACCGCTGGAGGGTACCAGATATAAAAACCGAGAGGGGGTTGATAGGGAGGATGTGCCGGGGTGAACATGGGGACAGGGAGGGGGAAGAGTGTGGCACAGGGGCATGTACAGCGACGAATAGTGACAGAAAACATACATAGAACATACCTTAGCATCCTCCAATCATATTACAGCAGCTTTGATGAGGTATAGCACGATATACGTGGCAGTATGCACAGTTGATTGTGCTGGGCCAAAAACGTCGAAAAACCGGTCATCAAGAGTTAACGAAGAGCGCCAGCGGATCCACCAAGATGTCATAAGAAAGCCAGTAATCGTAGCAGTCTATAGAGCCAGTGAATATGA